GTTTACATCTGCTATTTTTTTTTTTTTTTGTTTTCTTTTTGTTCTCTTGGTCTTTATTTTCTTTTTCTTAAAGCATTTTTTTTCTTACTTGCTTTTTATTTTTTAGAATTTTATTTTGATTTACGTGTAGTATTTTTGAGTGTATCTCTTTGTATATCTTTGTTAGTGGTGGCTCTAGGTATTACATTACATGTATATAACTTATTAAAATCTCCTAGTATTGTCATTTTACCAGTCAAATGAAATATAGAAACCTTACCTCCCTTTACATTCTTTATTCTCCTCTGTTTATGTATTTGTTCTACATACATTTAGAACCTCATTAAGCACTTATAAATTTTGCTTCAATCATCAAACATAACTTAGAAAACTCAAGAGGAGGAGAGAAGTCTATTGTATTTACCCATATTTTGGCTTACCATTTCCTTCCTTCCTTCTTTCTTTTCCTTCTTTCTGATGTCCAAAGTTCCTTCTTTTATTGTTTCCTTTTGGTTTGGAAAACTTCCTTTGCCATTCTCTTAAGGGCCAGACTGCTGGCCACATATTCTTTTAGTTTTCCTTCATCTTCAATCTTGAAAGTTATTTCCATAGGGTGTAGGATTCTGAATTGACAGCTTTTGTCTTTCAGCACTTGAAAAATGCCAGGCCACTTCCTTCTGGCCTCTGTGGTTTCTAATGAGAAATTTACTTCATTCTAATTTTCCCCCCTTTAGTTAAGGTGTTGTTTTTCTCTGGCTGCTTTCCAGGATTTTTCTTTTCTTTTTATTTTAGAAGTTTAATTATGATGCATCTTCTAGTGCTTTTTCAACCCCCAGCTGCTTTCTCCTCTCCTTCTGGGACTCTGATGACAAGAATGTTAAATTTTTTGTTATAGACTTATAGGTCCCTGAGAGTTCATTTATTTTTTTCAGTCTATTTTCACTGTTGTTCAACTTGGGTTAATTTCTATTGTTCCATCTTCTTGTTCACTGATTCTTTCCTCTGTATCTTCTATTCTGCTACTGAGACCATCCTCTGAGCCTTTGTATTTCAGTTATTGCATTTTTCAGTTCTAAAATTTCTATTTAGTTCTCCTTTGCTGAGACTTGATAGTTCTTTGCTGAAGCTTTCTATTTTTTGTTTGTTTGTTTTAAGGAGTTTGTAATTGCTCAGGAAGAATTTTTATCATGGCTGTTTTAAAATATTTGTCAAATAATTCTAACATCTCTGTCACCTCAGAGTTATTGTTCATTGTTGCCATTAATTGTCTTTTTCCATTCAGTTTGAGATCTACGTGGGATTTAGCAAAATGGGTGATTTTCTGTTGGAACATGACATTTTCATATTATAAGACTCTGGATCTTATTAAACCTCCTGTTCGATGGCTTTTTCTGACACTTCTCTGGGAGGGGAAAGAAATAGGGGGTGGGGTGCTGCCTTGTTACTGTCAGTTGGATTCTACTTCCACTAGACTGTTCATTTAGGCTCTGTTAAGACCCAATGAGAAGGGTCCCCATGTAGCCTTCACTGACACCATGGTGAGAGTGGCCTCATTACCACTGGATGATGGTAAAAGTCCCAGTTCTCCACTAGACCTCCTCTAACACTATTCCAGTGAGAGAACAAAGAGAAAACCCACTAACACTGGGGGAAAAGGGAACTCATTATGGTCCGGTGAGTCTGAAAGTCCCACCTCTCTACTTGGCCTTCTCTGATACCACCCCAGCAGGGATATTGGGTCACCTTGTTAGAACCTTGCCTTGGTGGAAGTCTAAGCTCCTTACTCAGCCATTGCTGACATAGGTGGAGTTGGGGACAGTATTTCTTTGGTGTTTGACTAGAGTAGAGTAGTTACTGTCCATGTTTTCTGTCTGGCTAGATTACCACTTTCTTGATCCTTTGGCTAGAGAGAGCAAGCTTTTGATAGGGCTTTTTCTTTTTGTCTGTGCTATTGGCATTTCCAGGTTGGTGGCTTCTCTAGCTCCAAGTCTGGGGTATATGAGATAAAAAGAAAAGCTAGGGAGCTCACCATCATGTCATTTCTTGGGTCTCAAGTTCCTTAGCTGGTTTCCCTTCTCTCCACCTTTTGGAGTCTTCCTATGTTTATTTTACATATAATCTGCAGGGTTTTTAGATGTACTTAGCAAGAGTAATAGGGAAAAGTATGTCTACCCCATCTTCCAGGAAGCAGTCCCCTCTGGCTGACTTTAACAAGTTCCCTCCATGTTCTTTGTTCTCATTTACTGGCTGTGGACACATTCCAAACAGCCGTAATTCCTGGAGCTATATACTGCTACGACTGCTGCTGCTGCTGCTGCTGCTGCTGCTGCGGGTAGCTGCTGTTTGTCGACCCCAAACTCATGGCAACCCCATGTATTACAAAGTAGAACTGCCCCACAGGGTTTTCTTGGCTGTGATCTTTATAGAAGTAGTTCACCAGGTCTTTTCATCCATGGTACTGCTGGATAGTTTCAAACTGCTTTGGGTTAGTAGCCAATTACATATCATTTACACTACCTATTATACTTCTACTGTGTTAAATTTGAGTATTAACACTTCCTAGAACCTAAATGAAATATTAGCCCACATAGTCCAGCAACATATTAAAAGGATAATATTCCTTGATCAAGTAGGATGTACTTTAAGAGTATGAAGATGATTTGCTATTAACAAATCCAGTGATAACATTCACTATATTAATAAGTCAAAGCAGAAAATCCATTGATCATCCCTGCGGTATAGTAAATTACTCAGTGTGACTTTTCTACCCATAAGTCTTTGTAAACTCTGAGGTGGAATTTGCCATGAGCAACTGAGGAGCTCCTGATTGCTAAAGTTGTCCACCTGGGGTATTTCTGTTGGGCGTGGCACTAAACAATGTTGTGGGAGGTTCCCACTTTTTCTCAGGTGTTTAGAATTCTGATGTTATGATTGCTTGGTTTGGCTACTCAGCGAGGCTCAAAAGGAGGCCTCCTAGAGACAGAGCTCTCTCTGACTACTGTCTGAGGAAGATGTGCTGCTGAAAGAGACACACTCCTGAGACACGCGTCACTGGGAAAGAGACTATGAGACATGCATTGCTGAGTGAGACACCAAGGGACACGCACTGCTGAGAAAGAGACTGTGAGAGACTGTTGGCTGAGGGACTATAGGCTGGGAGAGAGACTGAGCATTTTTCCTAAACTTGAATTGTAGCCTGTGGTGCTTCCCTAATAAACCCCGTAATCTGTGGGTTCTGTGTGGCCACTGCAGCGAATTATCGAACCCAGGAGAGAGGTGGTGGGTGCTTTGGGAGGAACGGTTGGTGAAAGGGCTGGAGGGAGGCAGCATGTCTGGCCTTACAGGAATAGGCCTTGGGTTATTGATGGTGACTCTGTCTTCCTTTTGTGGGGTTAGAGGAGGTCGGAACATGTGGCCACTTTGTCCTTTTCGCAAGCACATATATTAAAAAATGAAACATTGATAGAATTTAATATTATTTCTGAAAAAAAATTCTTGATGAAATAGGAATCAATTAATATTTTTTTTTCCAAACAATTAAGAAATAAATATCTTCAATCAAAAGTCAACATTGTGCTTAGTATTGAAATACCAGAATCGTTCCTGGTAAAGTCAGCATGCCAATATCACTTCTATTATTTAACACTGTTCTGGGAGCACTAGTCAATGAAATAAACACAAGTAGAAAATGAGTAACAATTTGTGATAACTATACTCTTATTTACATGTCCCTCTACCAGGCTGTTGTTCCTTGGAGTTGACTAGACATTACCTAAAAGATTGCTTAGTTAGTTCCCTAGTTCTGACACAGGTTTTTTGGCTTTCTTCTTTTCTATGCTCATCTATCTTTCTGAGGTCTCAACTTGCTTCATCATTCATTGCCAGGGGTTATGATCAAGGCTATGTCCTTGTACACATTGTATTTCTTATGTTGGGAAGATAGTAGACTGTCAGTGAATTTTTTAGATTATTAATCCAAAAGGTGATATATGCAACTATATATATTGCATATTCCTGAAAGGTAAATCAGCAATTTTGTCTTCTTCAGGTTTGTTCAGAACCTAACACTTTGTAATTACACAGTAACTATTAGACTAATTAATTTTTGTGATGAGATAAAAATAGCATATCTTATAACTCTCAGTATTTTTTAATTGAATTGAATTGTATCCCCAAAACAATAGACTGAAGTTCTAACCCCAAAGCTGTGAATATGATCCTCTTGGAAATAGAGTTTTTCTTTGGTTATATTAATGAGGTCATACCAAAATATAGTGGGTCCTAAACCTAATCTCTTCTGAGTGGTATCTTAAAAAAAGGGAAAACAGACACAGAGGAAAAAGACTATGTGAAGATCTGTCTACAAGCCAAGGGATGCCAATAAATGCCTGGGGCTAACAACAAGGAAGGACCTCCCCTAAAGCAGATGCCCTGATTCAGACTTCTGACCTCCAAACTATGATACAATAAATTTATATATTTTAAAGCCACCCACATGTGCTATTTTTGTTACAGCAGCACTAGGAAATGAGACAGTTGGCATTCAGCCAAATCATAACTGTTTTTATATCTAAAAGCTTTAGCTAAAAATTCTTTGCATATTCTAAAATATTCTCAAGATTCAATGAAACATTTGCCACCAAAATAAGGGTAAAGTAACATGAAAACATCACAGTGTGGTACAACTATGACTTGACTTTATAATTGTAAATTTCACTTCTATCTCATCTCATAAAACTAAGACATAGGTATAGAATGTACACTTGCACTTTCAGTCACTCTCATTGCTTCTAAATTTAGGTGAAAATTTTATGCAAGAGTTTACTTTTCTAAATTTTAAAGTATCTCAATAAATTCATCCTTCTCCACAGGAAATTTGCAATATAGTCCCATGTACACTTGACACTCCTAGTTAATCCTAGCAATAGGTAATAAGTGAAGCCTTACAATTTTAATCTGAGATCCCATGACTAAAAGCAAATATGGAAAAATAATGACAAAATACCAAGTTTAAACCTTACCTTTGCTCCAGAGTGTGTATCTCTGAAAATATCCATCTGTCTTTTAAATAGCTCTACTACAGCACTGTAGACCAGCTCATACTGTTCCTGAAGAGCATCACAAACCAAACAAATGAAAATGAAACAAAACTTGGTGAGTTACAGAACCAGATTTCAGGAATATAAACACCAATCAAATCTTAGTACAGCAGACCTGATAGGAGCATCAACATTAGTATAATAACAGTACCTTGTGTTTATGTGGAGTACCTGGGTAATGCAAGCAGTTAATATGCATGGCTGCTAACCAAAAGGCTGGGGGTTTGAGTCCACCCAGAAGTACCTCAGAAGAAAGGCCTGGTGACCTACTTCCAAAAAATCAGTCATTGCCAACCCTATGGAGTACAGTTCTACTCTGACACACATCAAGTCGCCATGAATCAGAATCGACTCCATGACAACTAGAGGTAGTGGTGGTTATGTCTGTGTAGCCCATTTCAGATTTTAAAGTGCTTTTAGGTTGCTAGAAAAGAGCCAAATATTTGATCTGCCTCTAGCAAATGTGCAGGATCGTTTGGCACCATTTTTATCTTCTAATCCCACTTTCTGGCTTATCTTTCCTTCCATCATCATAATTCTGTTTTCCTTGCTCACATTTAAAAATTTGTATTTCATGCTGTATTAATTCTTTTCTAGGTCACCTTCATCTTTTTCTGGACAAAGGTAGATAAGCTGTGGTTGGTGTAGAATAGATAGTCTCAATATCTAATATTTAACTGGACCCTTGCAATTGCTCCATGATGTTGCCAGGCTGACTGCCCCTATTTGTAATTAAGTTTGCCAAGTTCATTTAAAAGTAATTTCAAGGTCCTAGGTAAGAACCTGTGACTCTTAGTTTAGCACACTTAGACCAAGCTGCTGAAATTTTGTCCTAGCAAAGATGTGACTGAAAAATAGACAACTGAATAGGGTTTGGAAATTTGTGACTATAAAAGGATTTTCACAGTAGGGAAATGAGACAGCTACTATTAAAAGATTTATGTTTTTTATTGCTCCATTTTTACCTCTGTGCCTGCCAGAGCACTTGATTTTGTATCTACTTTTCATCTGAAAAGAAGTTCTAGTGACACAGTGGTTAAAGCATCTGGCTCCTAACCAAAAGGCTCTAAACCACTAGCTACTCTGCAGGAGAAAGATGAGGCAGTCTGCTTCCATAAAGATTTACAGCCTTGAAAACACTATGGGGCAGTTCTGCTCTTTCCTAAAGGGTCACCATGAGTTAGAAAGACATGATGGCAATGGGTTTGGTTTTTTGCTTTAGTTTTCATCTGAATGGACCTATTCAGAGTTCTTGACACTTTACACAGTCTTATACAAATAAAGTACAACTTATTCCAAAGATAGGCACTCTGGTGGTACAGTGGTTAAAGCAATCATTGCTAACCAAAAGGTCAGCAGTCGGAAGCTCAGGAGAAAGATGAGGCAAGCTGCTTCCATGAAGATTTATAACCCTGGGAACCATATGGGGTTTCCTAAAGGGTTGCTATGAATTGGAATCAACTGGATGGCAGTGGGACTTTTTTGATATTCCAAAGATAACTTTAGCAAGAAAACCAAAGCAGCATCTATATCACCTAACACAGCCATTGGTACATTCTTTAATTTTTCTTTTTTTTTTAAGGAGAGAAAAACCAGACAGGAAGCACTCATCCGGTTACAGTGCCATTTCCTGGCTAGAACAGTATCAGAAAAAAGCAGCTACAATTGTTATGGTATTTGTTCAGCTAGTCTTTGATCATGTCAAAATGGAAGGCAAATTTCAAACTGTCTGAGCTATCTTCCAATTCTTAAAAGTTGATTGAAATGGAATTGTTTTCTGAAATGGATATGTTTTTATTTATTAATTTTAAATCACAATGTAATATTTTACAAGTAGGTTGCATACTTCCTGGAGTCTTTACACATTTACATGGATCAGCCTTCTTTGAAACATGACAGCACTAACCCAGCCAATGCTTTCATGTCACATAAATTTTCTCCCCTTACAGGTTGAATATAGAAAACACCTACAGTCAACACATGAAAAAAAAATTTTTTTTTTCCACTAACTATTAGTGGAAAACCTGTGTGGGCCAAACGGATAGGTTTACATTATAACAGCTCCTCATTTTTTCCCCTGAATTTACAACGTCTAGATTAAAATGTCTGAGCTTCTATTGTCAATTGTTTCATCTCTAAACCTATGTACAAGTTCATTTGTAAGTACTTTAAACATTTTAAGTCTGTCTTTTTAAGCAGTAAAAATAAATAGTTCTAACAAACTATGCAAAAGTGCCTGTTTCATAATAAACATCAATAAATGTTTGGTGAATGAATAGATAGGTAAATGCTAAACTCTGTCTTAAAAGATGGAGACCTCTATTAGAAATGTGGGTAGAATTATTGGTGTAGAAATAGGGGTGGAATTAATAGTGTAGACAGTGAGAGATTTGGGTTAGGAATGAGGCAGAACTCAAGCTGGACTTCATGAGGAGAGGGAATGGAGTGAACAAGTGTGGACAATCTGGGGTTAATGAAAAGAGTTTGAACTGGACATACATTTTACATACATAGTGTGTGTAATTGATTATGCTTTTTAAAAGTATACATACAATAAGTACCAAGAGACTATAGGAAAATAGCAACAGTGACTATTTCTAAGTGATAGGATTATGGTTGATGTTATTTTTACTTTTCAGTATTTCCTAAAATGAGCATTTAGTCTGCATTCTTCAGATTCTGTTACCAGTTCCTGAAGTCAAAAACACATTTCTGCTTTCCTATGGTTTCAGGGATGGATTTATGACTACAAAATTTCAATTTAACTCAGCTACTATTTTCTAATAAGTCAAGCAGCTTATTGATTTTTTTCAACATTATTTCTAAGTAGGAAATATTAGATTGGTTTTTAAGTATCTCTGGGATGGTAAAATCTAAAGAATAAAAGGAGTTTAACCTGGGGTAGGGATTACAAACAAAATATTGTGACTTAGAGGAAATGGAAATGGACTAAAGCACTTTGTAGTAAATTGGTATTGTAGGTGAGGAGTCAGCTAATTTTGGATGCCTTACCATTAAACATAAAGAGCTGTGGTGGCACAGTGGCTAAGGCATTTGACTGCTAGCAAGAAGGTTGGTGGCTCAAATCCACTAGCCACTCTGTGGAAGGAAGATGGGCCAATCTACTTCCATAAAGATTTAACACCTGGGAAAACCAATGGGGGTTGCTATGACATTAACATAGACATGGAGCAAGACTCAGACACATGTCCTGATCCAATCACCATAGTCCATACCTGAGTTTGAACCAATGAAGGCCTCTGTGTTCGCATTTCCTGGATCAAACTAAAAATATTGAAGTTCTCGGGAATTATCTACCAAATAAAAGGAAAATATATCTTATTCTTTTTAGTCCTATCTCTGTTAATAAGTTATTGCTACCTTTTTATGGTCTTGTACTTCCATGATATTTGCTCTCTTAACATGGGTTAATAGCAGACAAAGAATGCACTTTAAAACTGAAGAGGTTTTTTATGACTTGTACCATGATTCAGAGCCTAGTGATTTTCCTAGGAAAGTATAGAGAAAATCTTCTGACTGGTTTCACATGGATTTTGATTTCCCAGGAGATCAAGTTATGTGAAACTAAAGTTATAATTTGAGAGACGGCCCAGTAGGAGAGCAAGGGAATTTTATGAAATAAATACAAGAAACTGAAAGATAGCTCTAAAAGCCATATTATAAATCTTCCATTTTCCTATCAGACTTTAAAAAATGATTTATACATTGAACATGAAATTTGCTTGCAATAAATTGAGTCCATCCCTAGGTGCCCATCAACAGAAGAGTGGGTAACCAAACTATGGTACATACACACAATGGAATATTATGCAACACTAAAGAATAATGTAGAATCTGCAAAACACTGCATAATGTGGATTAACTTGGAGGACATTATGCTGAGTGAAATAAGTCAATCACAGAATGACAAATATTGTATTAGTTCATTATTGTAAAAGTCAAGGAGGGAAACTTTCTTTGTTGGTTACCAGGGGTGGGAGGGGAGGGGAGGCAACAATGCAAAGATTAAAAAAATAAATAAATATTTTTTAAAA